GCGGGATGCTCGCACGAATGGGCTGAGAGAGAAATATCAGCCAGTATCAACCTGTAGATCGATGTCTCTTGACGATAACATGTCATTTGTTCCTCGTAGTAGTGGGGTGGATTGGTTGATGTCGGTCTCGTATTGGGCATCGTCGGGTGTCGGGGCGTCGGTAAGGTCCAAATTGGGAGTGCCAAGCAGCGTACAAACAGAGGTGCGGCGGCTGAACCCAATATACGATAAACTCTTTCCAACGGCTCAAGAACCAACTACTAAAGCAACTCGTAGAGCTTCCAAATCGCACAATCACGCCTTTATTCAAGTTTACAGCTATGATGTCATTTATCGTCCTGCTTTCGAGTCGCTACCCTCGGTTTGGCCATGAAGACTAGAGTTCTATCGATCCTTCCCTTAAGAAAACTTCAGGAGATTCATTGGTAAGTTTTAGATCCTCACAAGAGGCTTCTCGGACTAAAAAAAAAGGTCGAGAAACCTTCCTCCAGAGTATATAAGATCTCTGATCGACGACTAGGCGACACTCATCGCCTCATTTTTGTATAATCCAGTAGGAATGTGGTGACCACCCCAGCGGTGGTATCGCTTCAGTAATGGTGAGGCTGGGGGACGGACTAGGTCTGCGCCCCCAGCCTCTCCAACATAAAGGCAGCCAACAAGCCGAACAGTCCCCTCAACCATCCCCGCAACTTCGTTAAACTTTTTGACATCTTAATGTCGAATAATAGGTGTGTTCGACGTGGCGTCAGTCCTGGGTAACATCAGAAGACTACGATTTTATCATGCATCTTCTGCTGAACCTTTGACCGCGAAACTATGTCCGAAAGACTACGGAGCTCATCGCGAAACAGAGCTTATTGTTACTTGAATCATAGTATAAAATGACAAGTATCATGGGGCTTGCATGCCATTTGCAAGGAGGTACGTGCTTTCCAGGAGATTGTCATGAAAATCCTGACGCATGCCTAACATTTATTCAACCCAATACACAGACGGTTCCGAGTCCGACAATTCAGCTGGGAACATGAGTATGGAATACGGGTGTCACATACCCAATTTCCCTGTATCATTGGACCAAGCAGCTTGGAGCCCAATACGTATCCGTGGAGGTTCCTTTCCTCAACCTATCTCTCTTGTAACTGAGGCAGAGAATGAGAGTTCATTTCAAAACAACAGCATTACATGGGCTGAACTTCTCAATCTTACTGGTGCGTCCTAACTAACACGTCTCGCGCAGTTCTGACTATATACAGACGACTATCATTATAATCATCCAATGCCGTCACTCGCTCCACAGTCCACGGAGTCAGCCTACAATCCGCCTCCAATTTTTCTCCCAGAATTCTCATTCGACGGAGCCCAAGTTCATGCCTTCAACCCTTGGGAAGGATACTACCCCATTCCTATTGGGAATTCGAATACTTGGACGGAGTATAGCAGCTCCTCATCAACTTCCTCTAATCTCTCATCACCTGGGCCTTTCGAAAGTCTCGATATGAGCTCTCTAGAGTCGCCTAGCTTACTCTCTTTCGCCGCTACAGACAAATCTCAACGCAGTGTTGTCTCCCCGTCTCAAGGCATAAAGGTCGACCGTATTGCTCTACGAACCATGTGCGAGGACGGATCACATCTCGCCCCCGCGTACAGAAAGCTACTCGCATATATCCTCGACGCTGACTGCTACATTTCACATATTACAGAACCAAGGATCGGGACCGCTGAAGGAGACAGAGTACTCCAGTACCTCGAAGAAGTGGATGGTGTTCAATTTCCACAGCACAAACTCAGAGCAGACATACCCCTCTCGGCTTTGTTGACAGACCCTAATTCACGTCGATGTTTGCTCTGTGGTGCAATAAAGACATCCGCTCAGAGAGCCATAGAATGTGTGGGTAGTCATCTCGACTATAGGCCTTTTGGGTGTACTGGATTCACGGGTGGATGTCCCACATGCCGCCCAGGCTACGAGTAAGTGAATCACACATTCCTGAGCGAGAAGATTGGCTTATTATCATTTAGACCAAAACGTTTCTTCTCGGCACGGCTTCTCAAAGATCATTTGGAGACGGTACAGAAGAGGGATACATGCCCAGTCTGGTAAGTTGTAGACTAAGCCTAATCGAAGGCTATTTTGAGATACTGTTAGTTCAACCGGTGTTCTCAACTCTACTCTAGCCAAAAGTGCATCGCTCGTAAGGGGCTGCGGCGCCATTGGCATACCATGCACAAAGATATTCGTTTTTCACCTTTGAATCGGGAAAATAAGCTTCATCCGACGCGTGTACGTAATACCCAACGCTCCGGTCTGTCAGCCACATGCTCATCTCGTACCATTGAACACAGAAGCGAGGAGAGATCACCCAATAAAGTTGTGCAAGATACAGTTCTTTATTCACCGCGTTGCCTTTTGGAAAGAATGTTTGGCGTATTGAAATCTCAGAACGAAACGAAATAGGCTTATTTATTCTCGTGGCTGGTGCCGCCCTTCTTCTATCCACATGCATTCCCTTTCTTTCGTGCCCCCGGATCTGTCGGATCACCTTTGGTCCTCGCCCATAGGGCCCTCAGACAACTAAAACAACTCTCCTAGATTTGTGGCCTGAAATGACTTCAAGGTGTATACTTTGCGATCGAATGTGACTTGAAATTGACTCCATTCTACTTTGACTATGATATCTTGAGACTTATACTCATTGATGGCTTCGCCTTAGCGAATGCTCGAAATTTTGACGAGGCTGAATAATTGTTGCTGCCCCGTAGTCGCCCTTCGGATTATCTACCAGTCTCTTTTCAGATATTATAGCCCTTCTGACTAGTCTAGACAGGTTAAAATATGGGTGGGTACCGGTACGTACAAACAGAGGTCCTTGTAGCCCAAATACGACAAAAACTTTCCAACGTCCCAAAAATGCCATTAGTAGCTCTTACAACTCCATAGCGGGATCTACGGTGGCTGGTGTTTTGAATCTAGACATTCGTTGAGGCGTGGTGACCGTCCCAGTGGTGGTAACATTCAGTCGATAGTGAGGCTGGGGGACGGACTACTCTTGCGCCTAACACACCAACTCAAGATAAAAGCCGGACATTGAACGTAGTCCCACGTTCCGTCGCAACTCGTTCTTTTGAATATTTCAAGGAAGTGCGCACCACAAGCATATATTGTTGGGCCCAGTAACACAAGACTAGCGCCTTTCCCCTCACTTGTTTCGAGGACCCTCAAAGAGCCTAAAACCGAGGTCTTGTTACTTTC